CCACTTTCTCTCCCTGCTCAACCAGATTTCCAGTCAAGTCAGCATGCTCTTCCAGCATTTAATGCTTGGTTGGTGAGGTATATTACCAGTTACCAATCAGACCTTAAGCAACAGAATTATCAAGCTCAGGGGGGTGTCACCAGAATAATCAACAACTTGTTGGCTTGATGGTAAACAAAAAGAAGGAGCAGCCTTCATATGGCTCATCTCCCTTCGGTTCCACAGGCTCATTTTATCTCCCTGGCTAGGATATGTCTAGCTGTGTTTTTTAAAAAAATAAAAATACAAATACATACCTATAAATATCAGGAACAACCAATGCTACTCCAATTCCTGATGGGAGATTCACTTCTTGATTGATTGTTGCATGAAAGTCATGTTAAAGAAGTATGAAATAGATTCCTCATGTAAGGTGGGCAAACATCCCATATTGTCCCTCAAGCCTGGCCACTGTTTTACCATTACTCCTCAGCTACAAGATCTCTGTCTGCAGATCATCTTACATGTCAGTTCTAACTACAAATAGACAGACATCTTCGGTGAGAATCAGGAGACTGAGAGGTGTTGACCGAGCAAGTGTGTCAGAAAAAAGAATTTTAAACGGTATTTTTTATTACAGCAGTAATTTACATTAATGGTGTGTATTTTTGTAATATTTGTTGTTGTTTTAGTGTGCTGTACATCACTTATTTTTATTCCTTTTTATTATTTCATTATATATTTATTTGCATATGTTAATTAATATAGAAAAAAAACCTAAGTAAATAAAACTTATTCCCAGCTCTTTTTCTTAATGCATGGCAGGGACATTTCTAGCCTTGCGTAATTCTGGATCCCTGAGTTGAGGCGTCTATGCACCTTTAAATGCTCCATGTTAATGAGTCTGTTATCCTAGAACAGGTCTCAAGATATTTAAATTCTGGCAGAATTAAAACAGAACCCTGAGTACATGGCAAACCTTTATCAAGTCATGTTATTCCCTGATAGGGTTTCAGAGGCTGTGACTGATTCAGCTGTAAATTGCTATCACTTGGGTATTTCATGGGCACAAGGTCATCTCCACCGACAAGGAACGGGACGTGCAGATGCCGAGGCAACAAGCAAATCAATAGGTAAAAAGGCCATGGGACTAGAGACTCAATCAACAAAATTAGACTTCACCTATGGCAAGAAGCAAACCGCTCAACCAGCTTATAATGTGCTAATTGAAAAAGGGCACATTAATTTTTGGTCACCAGCTTGTTGGTATTCACAATCTCATAATGCAGGGATTCAGCAACCTGACATTATTTCAGAAGTCCTTTTACAAAAAAAAGCTCAGCAAGCAACACAAGGAAACATGGACAGCCCACCTTTCAGTAATTAACTCCGACAGCGCAGTGTAGCGGTTGGAATGTTGGTCTAGGATTTGCAAGACCCAGGTTCAAATCATGAAAACATAAGAATAGCTTGCTGGATCAGGCCAATGGCCTAACTAGTCCAGCATCCTGTTTTCACAGTGGCCAGCCAGATGCCTGTGGGAAACCAGGGAGCAGAACATAAGCAAAACAGCACTCTCCCCTCCCATAGTTTCCAGCAATTGGTATTTGAAAGCACTGCTGCCTCCAGCTGCGGAGGTACAGCACAGCCATAATGACTAGTACTAATGATAGTGTTTTCCTACATCAGGCATAGGCAAACTTGGCCCTCCAGATGTTTTGGGACTACAACTCCCATCACCCCTAGCTAACAGGACCAGTGGTCAGGGATGATGGGAGTTGTAGTCCCAAAACATCTGGAGGGCCGAGTTTGCCTAGGCCTGTCCTACATGAATCTGCCTAATCTTCTTTTAAAGCCAATCCAAGTTCACGGCCGTCAGTGCCTCTTGGGGGAGCCAATTCCCTAGTTTGACCATGCACTGCATGAAAAAGGACTTTCCTTTATCTGTCCTGAATCTTCCAACATTCAGCTTCATTCAATGTCCATGAATTCTAGCATTATGAGAAAAACTTTGCCCTATCCATTTCCTCCATGCCATGCATAGTTTTATGAACTTCTATTAGGTCACCTTTTACTCATCTGTTCTCTAACCTAAAAAGTCCCAAACGCAGCAAACTTCCTTCATAGGGGTCACTCCATCCCCTGGATCATTTGGGTGGCCCTTTTCACACTCAAATCCTCACTCAGCTGTGAAGCTTACCGGGTGACCTTGGGCCAATTGTGATTTTGCAGCCTAGCCTACCTTGCAGGGTTGATGTGAGGATAAAATAGGAGAGAGAACATGTTCACAGCCTCCCCTGCCCCCAATTCTTTTTTTTAATTATTTTTATTAAAGATTTTCTTGATTTACAGAAGTATGTGTAATGTCTCTCTCTTGTATTTTTTCCATGTAACCTTTTTACAAATCAGTTTCATTTATTGAGAAATTAGGAAGAAAAGGGGGAGAGATGGGTGGGGGTGGGGTCAGGCGGTGATGCTTCTATTTTGCTTAATGTATGTAGGGTTTGTTGTCAGTGTTGCTGGGGCAGGTTCTCTGCTGTTCACTTGTGTTCCTTTGGTGGTGAGAGAGGTTGGGGTTGGCCTAAGGTGTGGTTATTTGTTTGTGATTGGCTGTGGTGATATTTTTTTTCATGTGTGAGTGGGGTGGGTGGGTGTTTTGGATCAGGTTAGCCATATTGATTTGTATGCTGTTGGTGGATTCTTGTCATTGTCTTGTTGGGCTGTGTATGTGATAAAGGGGAGCCATACCGGGGTAAAGGCGTCTTCATCTGTTTGTCTCCGTGCCAGTTTCAGTTTATTGGTTAATTTTTCTAGTAAGGCTGTTTCCCATACTATTTGGTACCATTGGTCCATGCTTACTCCTGACAGGTCTCTCCAGTATCTGGTTATGGTGTTTCTGACTGCTGAAAGTAGGTGGGTTATGAGTTCTTTGTGGTATCCCTGCCCCCAATTCTGAAACATCCTTCCATAATAGGCCGCCGTGAAGTTCATTCTCAGCATGTAAACTTGAATGTTGCCTTTAATCACCAATAGCTTCCTCTGGATAATTGCTACTCCCTGACAGTGCATCAATGTGCATCAAACAACACATGCAGCCTCCATATTGCTGCCCACATGATTGCACTAAGGAGCCTGCATGCACAACTGTCTTTGGGCCTCTTCCGGCATTACTTTGCAGCATGTGAACCAATTCAGAATGTGTCCCTTCTGTGCTACTCTGGTAATGAGAAGTTCATTATGCAATTACTTCCCATACCAATGCTGCAACTCCAGCAGGAAATAGGGCACTGCTGGACCCACATCCTGGGCTCTTGCAATGTGGCCTAGATCTTCTAACAATCCAAATGATGCAAAGGGGACACGGACTGCAGCAGCCCTTCTTATATCAGTAGAAGTCTGTGGTCTTCCTCCTAGCCTTAAAGAGCCAGAAACTCTTTGAAGGATGAAGAGGAAATTGAGAGAGCAGATCTTACAGATGAGATGTGGATATCAATCTGCATGAGAACTGCATAAACAATCAGTAATAGAGAAGTGAAAGGATAGCTGTTTGAAATTAATGAGCCAATTTTCTCCCATTGTGAAACTCAAATAAAATCAGTGACATACTGGTTTGACACAATATATGAATGTGACCCAGAAATGTCTAGCTAATTTCAAATTACCATTCTTTCACTTCATCTGCTTTTAATGTATCAATCCATATGAATATATAATATTATTTAGATTATAACCTTCAAGACTGGGGAGGCTTCACATTTTAATATTTTGTTAAATATATAGCCAGCAAACCTGTTAAAGCTGGAATGAAGATTGTCTGACAAAAGGAAATGCATAGTATGGACTCTGACCCATCAATTATCATTTCTTGAAATCCACAGAGAATTGATGAGATTCCAAAAGGAAGTAATGCTATGTAGGTCAAATGTACTCAACTAGAAAAGTGCTCAATTTATCAAGGTTCTAGGAATACTTGTTATATATTAAAGTGTCACATTGTTGTAGCTGCTACAACAGCAAAGGTGTACAAACAAGAGCATAGCTTTTTATGTAAACCTTCTCAAGGTCAGTGGTAAAATGCTTAATTAAATTCTGTTCTTTAAACTCTATCCCCATGGAAATATAAGGCTGCACACCTATATTTACACTGGATGAAGCTCCATTTAACTCAGTGAAGTTTAGATCTGAATAGACAAATACAGACTGAGTTGAAAAATAACTCCATAGTCGTACAGTGCAATCCTACCCATATCTACAGAGAAGTAAGACTGCAGATCAAAATGATCACCCTCCCAAAACTAACCTACCCATTCCAAACCCTCCCAATCTGGATTCCCCCAACCCAACTCCGTAAACGGTAGAAAAAACTACACTTATTTATCTTCTCACACAAAAAACCAATAATAAGCCACAAATACCTGCACCTCCCCTCCTCAGAGGGAGGGTGGGGAATCCCCAACATATAAGCATATTACATTGCCAACAAAGTGTGCCACATAATCCCATGTATACTAGAAGATGAGACAAAACAATGGATACATCTAGAGAGGGACACAGTTGAAAACACCTACACCACAGCATACCCATTCCTCCCAAACAAACTAAGGAAAATTCCCACAAAACTTAACAGGTACACCCAGACCATGCTTAAAGCATGGAAAGCAAAAATAGGTAAACTGTCCCCAACCCCATCCCCACTAATTCCCCTGGCATACCATCCATTATTCCATCACGCAGCACAAAACCTCCAAATAAAAACCTGGCAAACCAAAGGCCTATATCGCCTAACAGACTTCTCTAAAAATAACAAACCCTTATCAACACAAGAAATACAAGACAAACTAGAAGACACCCAAATGCCCTGGTTAACACAGCACCAATTACATGCCCTCTTAAACAATCCAGTAGTAAAATCAGCAGCAACTAGGCCCCTGACAACCTTTGAAAACCTCCTCCTAACAACAAAGGGACACGGCAAAGGGGTGTTATCTGCAATATACAAATTACTACTCCAAAACCCCACGAACCCCCTAGACATAATCAAAAAACAATGGGAGGACGACATAGGCTATGAGATTAACCCCACTCAGTGGACCAGAATGTGGTCTAAACCCCCTTTAAATCCATATCAATGAAAAGGAAAGAATTCACTCTAAAACTCACCTACAGGTGGTACCTAACACCAAGGAAATTAGCTCTAATACACCCAAGAACCTCAACAAAATGCTGGAGAGGGTACACCTCCACAGGCACATACTTCCACATGTGGTGGGAATACCCCAAAATCCAACTATTCTGGACAACAGCCATAAAAGAAATATGCAAAATAATTAAGCAAGTACTGTATTAGAAATAACCCCAGAACTGGCCCTATTAAACATCTTCCAAAACAATAATGCCCACTCACATCACAAAAAACTTATAACCCACATACTCTCAGCAACCAGAAACACCATAACGAGACACTGGAGAAACCTGTCAGGAGTAAACATGGAACGACAGTACCAAACAGTATGGGAAACAGCCTTACTAGAAAAATTAACCAATAAACTGAAATTGACACGGGGACAAATAGAAGAAGACACCTTCACACCAGTATGGCTCCCCTTTATCACATACACAGCCCAACAAGACAATGACAAGAATCCACCAACAGCATATGAATCAATATGGCTAACCTGATCCAAAACATCCACCCACTCCACTCACACATGAAAACAAAGATCACCACAGCCAATCACAAATGAACAACCAGACCCTAGGCCAACCCCAACCTCTCTCACCACTAAAGGAACACAAGCGAATAGGAAAGAGAACCTTCACAAGCGACGCTGACACAAAACCCCACACATACATTAAGTAAAATAGAAACATCGCCACCTGACCCCACCCCCACTCACCATTCCCCATTCCACCTCTTTCCCCCTTTTCTTCCTAATGTAGCACTAATGTCTCAACAAATGAAACTGATCTGTAGAAAATGTAACTTGAAAAAAGAGACATTGCACATACTATTGTAAACCAAGAAATCTTTAATAAAAATACATTAAAAATAAGAAGAAGTAAGACTACTGAGTTCACTAAGACTTGCTGAGTGTGAGCATGCATGTATAGGATACTTACGGCCTTAATTTTGTGTATCTATATGTATATATAGCAGTATAGATGAAAACAGAGGCTAATCTAAATGGTTCAGGTTCTAAATGTGACAAGTGAATTGAACTGATAATGAAAACTGCCCAGTGGCCAGAGAACAAAACAAACTCCCTGTTACTCATCTTAGGATACAAAACTGCAAGTTTAGGGCTGCATTCCTATATGTCCATATACGGTACTCCCTTAACTAAGAATAAGGCCGTGCACACACCATACAATTCAATCACACTGCCTCCCCCAAAGAAGCATGAGAACTGTAGTTTGTTTTTTGGAATTATGTGAAGGATGCATAAGACATGCGTAAAATTGCTCTATTAAGTTTTGTTCTCTCTCCACACTTGCAACTTTAAAAAAGGAACATAGGTTACCATTATACCAATTCTTACTAATTGCCTATTAATCATGACAATGCTTTCTCTGACAGACAGCAGCTCCCTAGGTCTCAGGCAGAACTATTCCCCAGTGGAAAAGATGAGGATGCTAAGGCCAGGACATTAAGCATGCAAATAATGTACTGTATTACTCGGCTAAGGTCAATCTGCATCCTTACAGACAAGTCACCATGAGACCAATAAGCCCATCATAAACCTGTATCTTTCTGTTATTGCTGACTCCCCACAACCAAAACCCCACCCACCACCTTGAAGGCATGCACAATGCAAAATGACAACACAAAAGAGTTATTTTTATAGCTGAGATGGGGAACCTGTCCCCCTTCAAATGTTGGACTCCAACTCCCACCAGCCCCAACTCATGGTTTTATACACTTATACATATGTGTTCTACCAAGACAAAAAGCAATACATCTTTTCAGTCACTATTAACAGGAAATAAATGTAGCTGGAAGACAATGAATTCAATATAGTTCAGTTTGACTCAACAAACCACTTCAAAGTTTGAGGAGCTACATGGCTTATCTTTAAATAATATGTGCTCATGACACAGCACTGCGTAATTTCAAGCACAGAGCAACTCTGTTAAGCGTCTGAACACTTCTGTGACATATGTTGAAGGCAAATGAATAAGGGTGGATAGAAGAAATCTGGGGGAGAACGATCTCTACAACATACCGTATTTTTCGCTCTATAAGACGCACCAGACCACAAGACGCATCTAGTTTTTGGAGGAGGAAAACAAGAAAAAAAATATTCTGAATCTCAGAAGCCAGAACAGCAAGAGGGATCACTGCACAGTGAAAGCAGCAATCCCTCTTGCTGTTCTGGCTTCGGGATAGCTGCGCAGCCTGCATTCGCTCCATAAGACGCACACACATTTCCCCTTACTTTTTAGGAGGGAAAAAGTGAGTCTTATAGAGCAAAAAATACGGTAACTAGCCAAATGGGCTGTTCCTATAATATTTTGGGCCAGCTCCCCACTTATAGAATTTCCAACTGAGATTAGATTTTCCCCAATACTGTGGAAGTTTCTGCATTGCTTAAAGACATATAAACTTGCTGAGCATTTGGTGGCTAGCTGTAGGTCTTGCTTTGCTGCTGTATTTTTAAAAGTTGATGTTGATTTGTTCTCATTTTAATTGTTATTTCATGATATTTGTATGATGTTACGACATTTGTATGGCTTTAATATTCTTGTTAGCTGCCCTAAGATGAAGGATTGGGTAGAAGTACAATGAATGAATGAATGAATAATAGTAAATAAACAAACCAAAACTGTGAGGAAATCTGTAGGTGTGATGTGAGTTCAAAGAGCTGATCTTGGCTTGGCTCAGGGAATGATGGGCAGTAATGGACAGTAATGATCAGCCTTTACTCTAACAACCCAGCCTGTCACAACCATGGGCTCAAATGTTTGCGTAACTCTTGCCCTCAGTATCCCAGACATTGCCTTGTTAAAAATATTTTACTGTGAAGTTGGTTGAATGACCTCAAAGAAGAAGTGCATGACCAGAGGGAGTGCTTGGTACAGCTTCTATTCAATGCCTTCATTAAAAGCCAAGAGGATAAAGTATATTGTCCTTTGATCGAGTCTATAGATAACGCTAAACTAGAAGGATTTGCCAACGCAGTGGCAAAGAGACTGAAAGTACAAAATGATCCAGAGATCTAAGGGAGATGGGCAAATTCAAATAGGATCAGATTTCATTTAGATAAATGTACAGTAATATACTTAGGGAAAACAAATCACAGCACAAGTGCAAAATGAAAGGCATTTGCTCAGACAACAGGGACGAATTTGGGGAGGTTTAAGTGGATAGCAAATTGGAACAAAGCTCACTACACTGCAGCAATGAAGCAAAGGCTGGTCTGCGATGTATAAAATGAGGCACACACAGAAGGAGTGACCTGTACTGTTTAAGTTAGGGCAATTTAAGAACTACAGGCCTGTACAGACACAATTCCAGTGGCTTCATTACAAAAAAGGGCAGGAGACAAAATGGACATGTTTGTATGTCACACACAGTTTATCATTATGTGACTGGGCTTAAGCAGCTCTTGGCCTTGCATCCTGCCCCTTTCTTTTTCCCTGCAGAGAAGGCACTCAGAAGCTTTCACTCCCTTTTTTGTTTAACTGTGGTTTGTCATTTCATCAGACTCAACTAACTGTGATTAAGATTAAGTATATTTTGTTTTAAGGGGAGGGGAGCATGCAAGCCCAAGGCTCACCTAGACTCATTCACATCACAATAAACTATGGTTTAGCTGCAAATTTTATCACGGTGTGTGAATGCAGCCATTGCTAATTTCAGAAATTAAAACAGAATATTTAACGTAATCTTATGAACAGAGCTTCTTTAAAAAGAAATAATCTACAGTAAGGCAAAGGGAACGTCACCTCATGTTCTTCAAAAGGTTTTGATACCAAAGGAGTCCACTATGATCCTTCTGAGCATTAAAACATAATAATAGATCATAGATTTAGAAGTCACAGGCATTATTAGCATATAAAAACAAGCTAACAGCATAGCTACCTTGCGACAGCTGGCAGCTAATCTACACAGCTGGAGACTGTATCCACATAACATCTTTCTATTTACTGTTGTATGGAAATATTGATTGCATTGCAGAAGCTTGACATTAGAAATTATAACTTGAAGGTTCATTTCTATAGCTCCCACAACTTATGAGTTACAATTATTCTGTTACAAAAGCTATGTGTGCCCTATTATAATTGTTTTAAGTCAAAAGGCCAACAGATGCAAACATATGTTTGTTTTTCTTAATTGGAATAGGGGTCTTAAAACCTTAAGCAGATCAAATTTATCTAAACCGGTGTGGGCACTTCTTCTTTCTTTGTTCAGGTTCACTAGTCCTCATGAAAATCACCATTAAAATGTGCACATTTCCCTCCTTATCTTAGCGATTCTCAAACATCTCAGTATGGGCAAATTTAAAGATAAAAATCCTCAATCACCCATCAATTTTTCTTCCTGCCTGCATTGTCCATAATATCCCCTTTCCCAGAAGCCCAAAAGGAAGCCATCTTCATTTTCATGCATTTCATTCACTAAACCATATATTATTTCAAGTGACTTTTTCGTAGCCTTGGATCTCAGAACACATCTTTTAGTGCTGAAATATTCAATGTAAGCAGGATAATTTTGGGGCTAGCTTTAGAAATACCCATTCTCCAAGCTACAAGGACCCTCCTTGTGCTTCCTCTTTCTAGATAGTGGAAACCAGGAGCAAAGATAACTTCTTCAAACTGCAAAATCATTTGGCTAAAAGCCACCCTTTTATCTTTTCTGTGTCAGTCAGACCTCATCTGACGCCTATAGTTCTGAGCACTCTAATTTAAGAAGGATGTCAGTAAACTGGAAAGTGTCCAAGATGGTGAAGGGACTTGAGACCAACTCCTATAAGAAAAGGTTGAAGGTGTTGGATATGGCCAACGATAAAGAATTCTAGGAGGTGTAGTTCAACAATCCCTGCTTTAACATTACAACACGTTAAAATACAGTTTTATAAATTATTTGCCGTTTTCCAAACTTTTCTTTAAAAAGAAGCTGTCACAGGCATGACTGTGTGAAGGTGGTGCATCATTAAAAAGAGAGAAAATATTGTCATGTTCTCCTGGGACAACTGCTGTTTATGGTGGAAAATTACACTGCAATAGACATTTTGGTAAGTGTTGCAAAGCATTTACAGCAGGTGTGTGAGCTTCTGAATGACTGGTGAATACCGTCTCATTTGCTCTATATATGAAAAGAGTAGTTAACAATGACACAAACACCCCAGTCCTCCAGTTACCTCTGCTGCTGCTCCTGGTTGTATTGTATGAATTATTATTATTCAGCTAATCATTAATCTATGCTACAGGGTTGGCAACTCCCACAATTTAATTAAATTTCAATATATTTAGCTGGTTTCCCACCCCCAACTTCTCAACTGATGAAGTTTTTAAATTAATTTCAACAAATTAAGTGAGGAAGGGTCAAAGGGCTGGGGTGATCAGGGACAAAGGGAAGGTATCCTATAGCTTTAAGAAAAATGAAAAATAGAATTTCAGCAGGCATATCTTGTCATGCAAGGGTTAGAAATGCTGCATAGAAGGGGAATGGCAGCAAGCAGAATGCACCCATGGTATACAGGATTACATTTGGGCCTGCAACAGCCTTCAGCACCCAGGTGCCCCCCAGATGCTGGCTGGGGCTTGAAGTTGTAGCTTTAAACATCTGAAGAGCACCAGGCTACTGAAGGCTGCCCTAGAAGAACTCAATTCCTAAGTCAACAATACAGTTTGGATGGCCTTTGGCAAGTTTTAATTGATCAATCTCTTCCCCTATCTCTTAAAAGGAGAAAAATCATGACCTGTCACAGAATGATGAGGCAAGCACAGGGCCAGCCCGCCCATTA